AGGACGACAGAGGGAAGAAAGGAGGTAGGGAGGGGGAGGAGAGAGGGAGCAGAAAGTGATGAATACAGGACAAATATGGTGTATGGAGAGCAGAAGAGCCAATAATTGTTTTTGGGAGTTGATGGTAAGACGAATTGATGTAAATATTTAATAATACAATACGATGTTGGTTATGTATTGGTTATACATGTAGTTATATGTTATGAAAATGAAAAAATAAAAAACTTTATATATATAAAAAAAATTAAACACTAAAAAAGAAAAGAATTCTAAAAAGACACCCGAGCGAGTGAATCCCCCAGACCTCTTTTATATGGGTTGAGACCCACAAGGTGTGCAAAAAATGGAGGCGGGCTTCAACTGTTCGGTTCTGGCTGCCATGTTGACTTTTTTGACCCCTCCTGTACACACATCTAATGGGAACCAAGCATGTTCTTAGAATGGATTGCTCCTCCCTTTCTGTCCCAGGAAATGCACCCACCAATTAATGGCACGGAGGGGGCTGGGGAGGGCTCAGAAAAGATGGCGAGATGATGGACATGGCAGCACCGTTAAAGCCCCGCCCATTTTCAACCTCGCCTGGAAGATTGGCAGGCGAGCAAAAAGGGGCTTTGCTCATCCTCTTGAGCTTGCCATCTTGCCTACTTTGACCCTCGCCCGCTGCCCCCCTGGTGCTCTTCTCTCGAAGAGCCTACCACAGACTCGCCCAGAAAGGCAACGAAGCAGATGACTTACTTTGAGATGAATTTGTCTTGCCCACAAGGGACCAGGGTGGTCTCGCTGTCAAATTCCATCCTGGGAATTGCATCAGGAATACAGGCCTGGGTGTGAAGACAAAAAAAAAAAAGATCCAGTTTGCAAAGAATCTCGGCACGCAGAAGTGACTTAATGCAGTGACAAACCCCAAATCATGGTTTGTATGTGTTGATCAATCAGCAGTTTCTTCTCCTGCACTTCCCCAGTTGCAGGAACTGGGCCTGGCTAGTCTAGTGAAGAGAAGGACCAGGGGAGACAGGAGAACATCTTCCAATACTTGAGGGGCTTCCCCAGAGTGGAGGGAGTCAAGCTATTTTCCAAGGCATCCAAAGGCCAGAGAAGGAAAAATGGATGGAAACTGATCAAGGAGAGATTCAACCTGAAATAAGGAGGAATTTTCTGACAGTGAGAACAATCAACCCATGAAACAGAAGTTGCCTTCAGAAGTTGTGGGAGTTTCATCACTGGAGGCTTTGAAGGGGAGACTGGACTGCCATCTGTCAGAAATGGTGTAGGGTCTCCTGCTTGGGCAGGGGGTTGGACTAGATGACCTACAAATTCCATTCCAACTCTATTAATCTGTTAATCCCAGAATTCCCCAGTCAGCAAGCCAGAATTCTACAGGAAATTCATCGGCCAGGACTGAGTGGTCCAGGATATTTCTGCCTGGCAACCTCATCTCTTGTCCAGAAAAGAAAAGAAAAGAAAAGAAAAGAAAAGAAAAGAAAAGAAAAGAAAAGAAAAGAAAAGAAAAGAAAGCAAGACAGTCTGCAAGCTTCCAGGGACT